CCTGCTAATACTAGAAAACCAAAAGCGCAGGAGGGTTTTGGGCATCATTTGTAGTACAGTGACTGTAGATGTCAGTAAATGTGCAACTACAGAGTAATAGGGAACAAGATTAATGGGGAACAGATCCTTCCTTCTACCTGGATGCCTGCATTCTGTGGATTGTACTCAGCAGAAGGTATCTTGCCCTAGGAATGCTGTGAATATGAGTTTTCCCACACACAGAGAAAAACCTTCTGGTTCTTTTTATTACCTTTTAAGTTTCTAGAGCAATTGTGGTGTCCATCTTGGGATCTATAGGACCCACGTCACATGGCGTGGTCCCCATATTTGTGTTGGTGAAGTTTTTGTTTTACATGTGATTCTGGTAGGCAGTGTACCTTTGGATTTTGTTTCTTCATCTATTCTATTGCTAATTTGTCCTTGATTGCTGTGTTTAGTCCATATACATCCATAGTTATACTTGATAAATATTGACTTATTTCTGAATGAGCCTTGCCTTATTTCTCTACTACTAAATTGCTAGCCATACTTAATACATTGTTTTTATCTGACACTTTAGCATTGATGATCTAGGATGTTTTTCTTCTAGGATGCCCTTGTGAAAGTTTTGGAGTGTTGTTCCAGTGGTCATGAATTTCTGTAGGTTTCCATTATCACTGAAGGTCATTGTGTCTCCTTCAGTTTGAATGAGAAATTTGTAACAGTCTGGGTTGGAATTGTTTTCTCAAAGAGCTTGAAACACTTCTTTGCATGCTGTCTTTGCCTTTAGATTTTCATCTTCCTGTGTGAGAATTCTATTGCCATTCTGATAGGTTCCTCTTATAGGTGATATGTTGGTTTTCTCCAGCAGCTATTGAGATCCTCTTTTTCTGTTGGATTTCTTATATTTTAATGACTTTCCGAGTGTTTTTTTGTTTTCCTAATTTTTTGCTATTTCTTATGTGAACAGCTGTTTAAATGCCCTTTGTGCCATCTTCTGACTTTTTACTGATTCCCATTTGTGAGACATGACCCCATGATTATACCCAAATCAGGCCGTAAGCAGCGCAGGCTGTCAAGAGTTAATCCCACAACTGGCTTGTTTATAGAAGTGAGCATGGCCAAACCCTTCCTGCTTAGGTCAGAGTGGCTTGCACCCAAATTTCACTCCCAAAGTCAAAACCTTCTTTACTAAAAACATCAGGTCAATTATGAGCCACAACTTACATATGGTCTCTTTTTTCCTAATTCAGGAATGTTTTGTCTCTTCCCTTACAAGCCTTGCCTGCATCAGCAACATATCCATAGCACCGCCACATAGGCTCCAAGCAACCCCTTTTCCTCGGGCTGATGATGCTGTGAAAAATAACTATCGACAACTCTGCAGGTTCGGGGCCTTGGCTTGTCCATGCCTTTGATTGCACCAGCACTTGCCATCCTGGCTCTCCACATCTAACGACATCTCTGTGTCTTTCTTTTCCTCTTGCACTGCAACAACCAAGCAGGAGATCAAAATGTACCACAGGGTCCTGTGATATCTATTACTCTTGGATGAGGCGTCTCTGACTCATCTACCTGCGGCTGCATCCACTTCTGACATTCCTTGTTCATTGAGATCTCTCACAAGGTCGACCTTGAGCTCTGCCCAGCCCTCATGGCCCGACACTGTCTTTACATTGGTTGCTTCTGCTTCCCACACTGCCAGTCATCATTTTCATCTCCTGAACTTCTGTTTGGAACTTTCTCATGGACCCCCTTCCTTTCTATGCTGGGAACTCATGAGCTGCATCTCTTCCTTCAGCTCCGCTAATGGCTGATGGTCTTCTCTGGACCCCCTGATCATTGTTTTCTTTAGTGTTGTTATCAGGTTTGTTGTAAGTTTGTGAAATTTCCAGAGAATATTTTTAAACCTTTTCACCTCTTTGACAGCCTTTCTGACCTACCTAATATGTAGTCCATGACTTTATTCCCCCAAAGCCTCTTGACTGGGTCTGGAGGAATTGCGTTTTTTGGAGGCATTCTGTTGCCTTTTCTGTTCGTAATTCTGGTGTTTTCCTTGTTGTGGTGTTCAGGTTTCCAAATTCATTCGACCACTGCTCTGTTACTTGGGAGTGAAGGACAGTCTTATTTATGATTTCCAGGCCATGTAGATATTGGCAGAGAGAGAAACCCAGTTGTGAGCCACTACTATGCTACACTGGCTCTTGTACCGATTCAAGATTCAACAACAACAGTGCCGTCAGCATCATCTGAATATTGACAAAACATAGGAACCGTTCATGAGCAGCCCTTGAGAAAACAACAAGGGCCATGATTTTAGTGAAGAGAATTAGGGCACCCCCATACTGATATGTAAAATTTTAATTTCTGCTACTCGTAGGTTGCACTTCCAGAGCTCAAACATAAGATTCGACTCATTACTTTCTTCAGTGCTGCTCCTCTGATCATTACTTCACCAAACCAGCCCTCCAAAGCAGAATGCAGGCCCAGCCCCTCCCAGAGAACCCCGCAGATTCCTATTACTGGTCACCTCCTTAAACCCATCACCAAGGCCTGGCTCTCCACCTGGCCTCTGTCATTGGATTTCATTCATTCTGAGGGAAAACTGTCCTCCTGGGGCTTGGTCAGGACTTGGGTCACTTCGGTCAGAGTTCTGTCACCACTCTTGACCTGGGCTGTGAGGGACACAAGGCCTGGTGTCCTGGTGCATGATTCCCTGTTGTCCTGGCTCAGCACTGGGGCGGTGGGCATCCATTGTGGTGAAGTCACAGTGCGGGACCCATGTCTGCTTGCCTGGATTTGGGCCTGGGGAGGTGTTGGTGTTGACTCTGCAGTCATTGTTATGTTCAATAAGATGATGTGCTCAGGAGCCATGCTTGTGGTTGTGGAAGAGTCCTGCCATTTTGTTCATTGCAGTGAAGTGTGCTGGAGAAAATGAGGGTAATTTTTGAGGAATTTAAAGTTACTGCACAGTTCCTGCTTCAAATTACAGAAAGTGCTGGCATTTTGAAAAATTAATGTATTTATTTTTGCTACTGGAGATGGAACTCAGGATGTTGTGCATGTGAAGAGGCAGCGGAACCATTGAGGTAAACCCCCGGCCCAGGCTGTCATTTCTTAAAAAAAGAAACAAAGTGAGAGAAATAATTTTAATAAAAGAGGAACTACTAGATATGGAAATGAGTGCTAACTAATGAGATAGAATGTCTGAGCTTGTGGATACAGAATTACATATAGCTGAGTCCTATTTTGAATATCGAACTTTCTAGCCTTACACACACACGAAAATTGCTAAATCCAGTAAGTATTCTCTTTCAAATTTATAGGAATGAAAGTAGTATCTATCTTACTATCTTCATGTAAGTAGTAAAATGTGATGAATGCAAAGGTTTTAGGACAATCCTGAATACAATTAAAATCCTCTCATATAATTCACTGTATTTTAATACCGTGTCTTGCAACATGGTGATTCCCCTGTCTGCAGAACTACTAAGGCACACAGGGAATAACTGTTCATCGGGACTCCAGTGGAACGTGAATTCTCTCTTCCTGTAATTGTCCATTCTGAGTCTAAGACTTCACACTTACACCCACACGGGGAATCAGAGTAGGCTGTAGGGTTACCAAGAGAAGGGAGTCATAGGGGGAGGCAGGGTGGGAGGATTACATTAAATAGTTTTCTTCGTTCTTTTCTTTACTTTTTTCCTTCTCTTACCCTCTGTCCTCCTCCTGCTCCTCCTCCTCTTCCTCCTCGTCCTCCTCCTCCTCCTCCTCCTCCTCCATCCCCCTCCTCTTTCTCCTCTTCCTCTTCCTCCTCCTTTTCTTCTTCTTTCTCCTCCTCCTGTTCTTTGGGGATTGATCTTGCTTCCTTAGTTGTGAACCACATTTCAGAACTTTAAAATTTTTATTTTGTGAAGAAATCTCACTGAACTGTCCAGCCTGGACCTGAACTTGTGATCATCGTACCTCAGCCTTCCAGAGCACTGAGATTAGAGGTGGGCACCATCAGTGCACCTGGATTTTGACATAAAATGTTAATTATGGGAGAGCAAACTGACTTGAGTCCTTTCCTGATCTTCCACACCCAGCATCCTTTCCTATACACAATCATTCAGCCATGTTTTTGGATTAAATTGTTATACAAAAAACCACTGAAGACCGTGATTCCTCATAGGCGGGTGCTGGTTGCACATGTGTACTCTGGCAGTGCTAGGAAATCAGTGGGCGCGGTAGGAGACAGGCTCTACAACCTCTTCACTGAATCAGCGATTGATTATTATTCAGGTTCTAAGAGTGCATCAGAAATGTGGCTCCACTCAGCACCTTCCTTTCTGTCATTTTACCAGTTACCAGGGACTGGTGACTCCTTAAGGTGCCCAGTGAATCACAGTCTTTGCAGTGTGGACATCTCTGAAAGATCTTGGTACTTGCATTGCAGCTGTGAGGGGCTGGATACTATCACACAGCCAACAACGCTAAATTACGGTACAGTCAAGGTCAGCCTGAAGGTCTCCTGCTTTCAGGGTTCTTCACTCTGCCCTGTTTATCCTTGAACAGCTCCAGAATTAGAGACATTCGCCTATCTCTGTCTTCAACTTCAGGACGCGTGGTGCCACAAAGGTCAAACTTGTGAGTGCATCTCAGGCCAGCACAGAGCTGACTCACCATGGTCTCCAATTAAAGTCTTTCAAAGGTGGGCCCAAAGCTTTACCAGAGAACTCATGAGAATGAGGCAGGAGGATGTCTGGGCAACCTAGTGAGGTCAAGGGCAGCCTGAACTCCATATCAAGACCCCTTACAAACAAACAAACAAACAAAAGAGTTAGTAGGTAAGAAAGCCTTTCATTGAAACCATTACTGTAATGAAGCAAATTCGAAGTTTCAAAAGAGAACCTGCATTTTCAATCTCTGACCAGCAACTGATGATGCTGTTCATCTCTGATGCCGATTGGTTCTTCACCCCTGAAATTCCCCAACCCAGCCTCCAAGCAATGAACTTGTTTCTTATCACTTGGGATGTAAGAGCACAGGAAGCCTACTTCTCTGTAAGTGATGCTTCTCTGACTCCCTCTGACCATTCCTGTCCCGTTCTCCAGCATGCTGTGTCCAGGGCTCCCCGGAGGCTCCTGGGTGGCAGCTCTGACAGTGACACTGATGGTGCTGAGTCCTCCCCTGGCTTTGGCCTGGGACAGGAGAGGTAAGTGCCCTGCTCAGGTGCTGAGCCTTGGTTGCTGGGAATGCGTGAGTGAGATTCCTCTTGTCCCAGGCCCTCTTTCTTAAATATCTGTGGCCTTTTCCGTGGTGACTTCCTGTCTTCATCACTTGAATTCCTTTCCACAGTAGGGCTGTGTGTGTCTGTCCTCCCTATGGGACCTGTGCTGAAACCTTCTGTAGAGATCCGATTCCTTTTCAAGTCTTCTCCAGTGAATACTTCAGCCTCAACTCACATCTTCCATTGGGGCCTTGAGGGACCTAGAAATGATGCCATCAAACTAATTTCCAAATACAGCATTTCCATATATTATTTTGCTTTGTGAGAGAAAGCAAAAATTCATCTTTAGAAGGAGAACATTATATGTATCATTGTATTCTATTTCACATATGTAATTTTGTTCTCTATACAAATAGAAAATAGTCATGCATTCAACTTGTTAGAAGATTGTTCTAAAAATGTTAGGTTGAGTCTCTATTGGGGTGGTTTCCCCCTGGATCCTAAATTTCATCCCCCCAGGGTCACTGTTGATGCCCCTATCACGCACGGGCTGAACCCAGAGGCGCCCTCCCTCACCTTCCTTCTTTCTCAGGAGCTCCAGTGGTTGAGCCCGGATCTCTGAGTGGGGGCTGTGATCCAATTGGGGTCAATGCTCTCTTTCTGTCCTGATCTTAGCGGCCTACAGTGAAATTACAGATGCTTTGTACTAGAGCTCACCCTGGAGTCAATTAGCATTTTGGGGATGTTCTTTGTTGTGCTATGTTCAGGTCCTCAAATCTGACAGAAGCTTGTGCTCATTTGATTAATTTTTTATTAATTTTATTAAATTTGAGCCTTTTTACACTCTTGGTTTCCTCCACATCCCACATTCTCTAGGCGGAACCGACAAAATAGTTTGAATTAGTTTGAAGAAAATATATTACAATCTATAGTTAGGCAAGATATAAGGAAACTATGAGCAATCTACTGTGCCTCAAAGCATCTCTACTGCAGGAGTCTCAGGAGGGTGTGGAGGTCAGGACCTTCCATGGGCTGGATGCCAATCATAAGGCAAGGAACCTCATTGGCCTACAGGGGTCACAACCCCAATTTCAAAGGATTTCTTTCACTGTGCCCTGTCTTCTTCTTAACTAGCCTCGGTGGGCTCCATCTTCCTCTACTTCTTTTCTGTCCTTTCACCAGCAAGGCTGTTTCTTTTCCTGAAAATCTTTGAAATGTGCACAGATCTCCAGCACACTAAGAGATCCATCCATTAGGGAAGATAAATTTTAAGACAAATGTCCTTTTTTTCTTCAGGTGGCATTTTCTGTAATGTGAATTTCTGTAATCAGGACGGAAAACAGCAAGTCTGTCTTTGGTTCTCTGAGGCAGTGGGAGAGATTGGTGGTCATCAGCATTAAAGGATGGTGGAGCTTGAGCCCCTTCCTCCTTTCTACTGCCTCAGAGTGATCAGTTCAACAGGACACTGGATGCTTCATGTAGAGCACACATCGTTTTCTGAGAAAGGATTGTGTCCTGGACTCTGCTGTAGAATCACAGGATTCTATTTGAAGAAGATAATGTGAAATTCAGTCAGGCTGTTTGAGAAATCCGCCTCTGTCTTATGGAATCCAGTCATTGCACGTTTAAGAGGTTCACTTTTCATCTTTGAACCTTCTCGATGTCCCCTCGTACTTTATGCGTTATTAGTCATCACCGTGCTGATTCTGAACAACTGTGTGTATGTGGCATAAAGTGCAGCCTGCTTGTTGCTGTACTTCGGGTGTGGACGTTCCCCAAAGTCCACGTGTTAAAAGCTTTGGCTTCAGCTCAGAAGAAACTTGAAGCCGTGGCCCAAGGGGAGGCTTAGGTCATGGACAGGAGCCTCAGAGGGACTGCGGGTGCCAGTGTCGTCTCTGTCTTCCGTGCCCCAGCCATGAGATGAGCGTGTTGTTGTCTGTGAGCCTCCTTCTGGGTCACCTGCTCCACAGGCAGAGGAGCAACACGTTTCCCCACCGTGGAGGGAAACGACCCTGTGAACCCAAATCAGTCCTTCTTCTTTATAAGCTGGTGATCTCCAGTGCTTTGTTACGGTGGTGGAAAACTAACAGGATGGGGACACATTCTTTCCATAATGTGCTTTGAACTTTTGCAATTATTCTATATTTCTTATTATTTATCAAGCCAAATGGTTGCATGAATTTTGTCATATTTACTAGTCTATTTAAAAAACTGACTTTTTCTCTTAAATATAAAGCTTAAATCACTAAAGATATACATACACACATACATATGTAAACACAGATTCGTGCATATACATATATGCATAGACATGCTCTATATGCTGTGATAGGAAAATAGTGTTTAAATATTTAAAAAATTTTACTGTTAACTACGCAGTGCCTTTAGTTTCCCTGCAAATCTTCCCACTTGCTTTAAACACACACCCTATTGTTCTGCCCCTTCCTGAGCACATCTGAATCACCTTTTGTGTCTTCAGTTGCCCTGTCCTGGCTCCTCCCTCAGTTCAGAGCATCCAGGGTCCATGGTGACTGTGACTCAGGGAGGAGCCTGTGTCACAGGGCTCAGGGCTGTGGAGAGGAGCCTGGTGGGTGCGGATTCACCATGGTGGTTTCCTGATCCCGCCTTTCTGGGGCTGTGGGGGGGCCCTTGGCCTTGGCACTCACTGTGCTCTTAAACATCACACCCATCACAGACAGTAAGGACAGTATCCAGAGCTGCTCTAGAGAACTCCTCTTGTCCTCCTCCTCCTCCTTTTCCACATTCACCCCGTGATTCCTTTCAAATGAAGTTGGTAGCACAGTTTCCACAGGACGTGATTTTCTGAACTGAGAATTCAGATACAGGACCGCGGACCTGTGTGGGTCCTCACTTTCAGCTCCTCCAACCTATTTCACAGCCTCCCACTACTTAAAACCCCAATCCTGGAGTCAACTACAGGGCTGGATCCAGGTGACTTCCGGCCAGCCCTTACCCCAGTCCTTACTCCCGCCCACCTAGTTCCTGTGCCTCAGTGTCCCGCTGTCTCCTGGTTCCTTGATGAAGATCACGGAGTCTTGGACCCCTCTGCACATGGCACCGCCTTTCCCTTTCCCCAGAACTCGGGCCTGGCCCTCGCCTGTCCCTCCACAGGGGAACTGCACCTCTCCAGGCACATTTCAGTCCCTCCTCAGTCCTTCCCAGGGTCCTGTGGTCCCTGAGCTCTGCCTGCTCTTCTCTGGGCAGAGCCTGCCCCACTGTGCCCTCCCTGCTCCCCTGAGTCCCTGGGTTTGGCCTCTGTCCCTCCTGCTCCCCTTCCCAGTGTGGACTCCCAGGGTCTGCTTTCCTGCTGTGGGCTTGCAGGGGAGGCAGGGGGAGCCTGGACAGGAGCAGGAGGCCCGGGTGAGGCAAGGGGAGCCCCTGGGGGCTGAGAGGCAGAGGGCGGAGGGGCTGTGGGCGGGGCCTGGGCAGCAGGTGGGAGCGGGTGGGGCGAATTCCGGGGGGCTCTGAGCTGGACTGGGCCGGCTGGGGTGGGGCAGTACAGGCTGGGGGGGAGGAGCGGTGTCTCCGCCGAGCCCGTATCCTCTGCCTGCAGGTGACCCGGGGACGGGTGCTGGTGTTCCCGAGTGGCGGGCAGTGTCCTCCCAAGAGGGTGGCACTGACTGGGTCACTGATGCCCTCAGCGCGTTTCATGGAGTATGTTACATCGGAGTGCCACTTCTCCAACGGGACGGAGCGGGTGCGCTTCCTGAAGAGATACGTCTACAACCAGGAGGAGAACTTGCGCTTCGATAGCGACGTGGGCGAGTTCCGCGCGGTGACCGAGCTGGGGCGGCCAGACGCCGAGTCCTGGAACAGCCAGAAGGAGACCCTGGAGCAGAAGCGCGCCGAGGTGGACACCGTGTGCAGACACAACTACGGGGTTGGTGAGAGCTTCACTGTGCAGAGGAGAGGTGAGTGTGGGGCCTGGGCTGCAGGGAGAGGGGCAGGGAGGAGAGAGAGGGGAGAGAGCTGGGGAGGGAAAGTGAGAGAGGGGAGAGAGGGTG